ATTACAACACCTGCAATTAAATGATGTTTCATGCAACGTCAAGGTTGATAGCCTAACATTTATTAACTACCAAGAAAATTATCAAACTGCCGAAATATATTTCTACTCGTATCATGTTACTCCACTCAATACAACAGTATCTAATTTTGTGTCAACTAGCTTCTTCCAATTTTATTCCCTAACGCTACTGTTTCTACTTAAGTTACTAATCTTTACTAAATAAAATAGGTTTCAGAAACTATAATACTTAGTATGCAGGAAGGATGTATTATGTTGTTCACTTATTATTCTTTTTTTTTTTGTTTTGCCAGAACGAAAAAGGTCTGTTGAACTTTGTAAGCGAGAGAATGATATTTTTAAAGCTTGTTTACAGGATTAACAATACTCGGTACAGCTTTCACAAAAATAAGCTGCCTTTTTAAACTTCAAAAACCACATTTTATAGGGCGCATACTTTCGAATTAAAGTTTATATCTAAATATCAATTATTGCTTCATTGGAAGAGCTTTGAAAATATATGATCTTTTATACTCTACCCAGTTGTAGCGGTGAAACAGAACTCATACTGACGTGCGTTGTACCGATAGCCGAATTAGGTCAGAAATGCCTTGAAGCAGCATCCATACTAAAATATGAACCCTTAAACAGCTGCATCACTGCACACAGCGTTTGAATCATGAAGATATTTAATGTAATTCTTCCAAACACCTGTAGCCGTAATAAAAGACGAAAAAATTGTGAAGAATCAAGATGGCGGTCTCAAAGTGCCCTTGTTCGACCTTTATCAATGTCATGTTTAAGTAGATGCTAAGATCTCATTGGTTCCTAAGCATCAACTACTAGTACCTTCAACCTTATTGGCTCTTGCAACAAACATCCGAACATACAAAGTTACAAAGATTACAAAGTTACAAAGCCACAAAGATACATACGCTCACACCACTAACATATGAGCTATTTTTTCAAAATAGCTCAACAAAGGAGGTTTGTATCAAAACATGGTTATGCTCTAAGGTACAAAAGGCGCTTCATTGTACCTAAATGCAAGACCGATCGTTTTAGGAATAGTTTTATTATTAGATCCTTTACGTAGATTTTTAAACTTTTTATCACATTTTTCACACTTTTTTTACTGTAATTAGTTTTATATACAAATTTTATCAATTGCATCATTTGTAAATACGCAATTCAACCTTTGGGCTGTAAAGTATTGGTAACAAGAATCGCCGAAAGGCGATTTTTAGCTGGGCTGCAAAGGGGCTATTTTTTCTGAAGGGAGGGGGCGGCTATGCACACTCAGGCTACCATAAAACCTTGTCGGCAACCATTGCATGACTGTGTCCCGGTGAAGCTTTTTAAAAACTTGTGTGCGAAATTCTCAGAGTCCCTATTTTTGTCCGTGTCTTCTTTATCCTCAGTATCCGAAATTTAGACCTCCAAAGTGACGTGTGTTGCATTAAATAGAAGGAAATATTTAAAGGAAAAGCCAGTCTTCTAACATGGCAAAGTTGTCACGTCCCTCGCTCATGGACGTGCGTAGTGCCATTCATCGGCAACTGAGTTGTTCGCTTCACTGACTACGAAGGCTTACAATCAAGTCTTCAGCCATAGTGTCGTCAACTGGTGAAATACCTTGCTCACAAATTGTGCTTCTTAATTGCTCATGTACTACATCGATCGATAATTCTCTCTTTGAGTTCACGAAGCGGCCACGACGTTCCAAACATGACGCTCACAGTCATCTTTTAGTGTGAACCTACCGTGAACGGCGTGTCGGTTTGAATGCAACGCGAGCATTTCTCTGAGTTTCCCAGCGCCAACATCATCTAACTGACTTAAACTCGAACAATAATAAAATTATAGAGTGACTCCCATGATCGAATCGCTTCGAACAACGCAAATAGCCTTCTTTAGGTTCGCAACGCTTTGTGGGTTTTTCAGGGGGAGGGCAGACGAGGTACAAAAAGTATCTGTGCAAGGGTTCATGCAAGAGAAAATCCTATGAAACCATTTGTGAGAACATCGTTTCTACGTACCAGACCCTCGTGTTTTCTCTCCCCCGGATGACCGTTTTTTGACACCGACGACCGAAAACCCATTTTATGACTGGGCTTGCCGGGCAGCCCAGTAATTAAACTAGAAATACGTATCTCGCAATAAGCCTCGCGAAACTCGGTTTGGTAACGGCACTCAAGTTAAGCCCTGCCGGTCGGGGATAAGAACTGTATGGGTGACCAACCGCGAATATCGTCTTAAAGGTCCATACGTTGTTCTTTCTTTTCTTCTTCTTCTTTTTCGCGTATTATGTGGTGTTATTGTTAACAGTCCATTGAAAAGCAGATTTAGCATTATTTCGGCGCCCAGATTTAGAAAAAGACAAAAACAAAGAACAAATCTGGCCCGGCGCAGTTCGCCGGAAAATTATTATAGTTCGGGCCGTAATACAGAGCTGAAACTTTGCAGACTTTGATCTACATTGATGGGCTCCTGTCTACATATATCGGCGGGGATGGGTTTTCGACAGTGAATGATCATAATGCCTCTGATTCCAATCTCCTGTTCCTCTGTCTACCTGTCCTCTGGGTACCGCAAGGAACAATCCTTGGCCCCCTTTTATTTCTTATTTATATTAATGACTTGCCAAACTGCCTTACTTCGTGCCAGCCTAGAATGTATGCCGATGACACCCACATTACTTATGCTGGCGTTGATGTGAATTCATTACAGTTAACTCTGAGTCACGATTTAGATAACCTAAACAAATGGCTTATTTCCAATAAACTTACTTTGAACACTTCTAAAACTGAATTCATGCTAATCGGCTCCAGACAAAAATTGAGTACTTTGTCGAACCCACTTGAGCTCTCGATTAATAATGTTCCGATAGAACACGTTTCCTCTGTCAAATCGCTTGGAATATTTATTGATGAAAATCTACGGTGGCAAACACACATTGATAAATTATCTAAAAAGGTCGCTTCCGGAATTGGAGCAATAAAAAGAATTAGACCTTTTGTCCCTCCACCTACCCTTCACTATATATACAACTCACTAATTCAATCTCATTTCGATTATTGCAATCTTGTCTGGGGTAATTGTGGTAAAACATTATTTGACAGGCTACAGAGGCTTCAGAACCGTGCCGCTCGCGTTTTAACCTTCTCTAGCTATGATGCTGATGCTAACCGTTTGATTAGACAACTCGATTGGAAAGACTTGAGCACTCAATTTCAAATACAGAAATCCATAATGGTATACAAGTCTTTAAATGGCCTTGTTCCTGAATATTTATCATCTAAGTTTGTTAAACGAAATGAAACGCGTTACTCCCTGAGGGACTCTGTTAACAAACTATTTGTCCCATTTCCGCGAACTAATTTCATGAAAAACAGCTTTACTTATAGCGGAGCAGTTCTCTGGAACAGCCTACCCTGTCATGTGAGAGAAGCCGAATCTCTTAGTCAATTTAAAAGATTAGTTGATGTTCATTTTTAATGTTATACACGGCATTCATGAAAAACAGGTTTTAGTTAGATTAGTTGTAGTCAGGTTTTGAATTTTGTTTAGGATAGTTAGGTTATTTTTAATTTTTAAATTCCTGATGGATTTTACCGTGTTTAAATAAAGATTGACTTGACTTGTCTCTTGTTGTCGGCGTTGCCTTCGATGTGCTAAGCGATGTTCCTTCTGCTCCACGGTTTCTTGTTGACGTCTTCTCCTTCGTTGTTCACGCTGAATTGGAAGTCGGCGTTCTCGCTCCAGAAGAGTTTCGGTGGAAAATCTTCTTGGGTGAGGATTTGGAGTCACTTGTTGTACTTGTGTGTCATTTGCATGGGAAATTGTTCGTGATTCACCGATGGTAAACTTTGATCACAGAAGATGAATAAACACATCAAAATGCCCTTTGGTCATCGGCGGCGAAGTCTATGTTGCCTGGAAACGCAAAATCCTCCATGACGTCATTGGCGGATACCAAGCATATATTCAGAGAAAGAAAGATTTATTTATTTATTTATGAAGCCTCGAATTTCGCAGCTGGCTAAGACCACGCGCAGTTAGGAGACTGCGCGCACTCTTCGCGCGCGACAAGATTATAAAGTCGCTACGCTCGGAACTATCTATCTATCTATCTATTTATCATGGTCAACCTCAATCTTGCACTCGCTCAAAGTCTAGGATACTAAGCCCACAGCTATAAAATGGTGTATTTTTAGGAAACGGGGGTGGGTTAGTAAATACTGAGAGCAGGGAGGTAGTATACAATGAGTGAAATACCACATAAATCACGCTCAAATCCTCATGAATTGGAGCATCACAAGTTACCACCAATTTATCCCCAGGGCTTTTCCATTAGAAATTTAAAAGAAACGGCGGTCCACCCCTCTCAGATTTCAAGAAAAAGACCTGGTAGAACCAGCTGCAGTACAGCAGTATTAAGCCCGACCTTCTCCACTAAGCCCCATTCCCCACCTCAAACGCGCTTGTTAAAAAATAAATAAATAAATAACTTATAAATAAAGCAGCCCGAGGACTCAGCACAGTTTTTTGGTGGCATGTTCGAAGCGTTTTAAGCCGAACAAACATTTATTTTTCTAGATCTGGATACGTCTAATCCCCGATCGTACAAGAAAACGCACGGCCAAGCCGTTGTACAAGGAGGAGCCAGTGGCTAAAACAGTTGTCATCACCGATAATGCATGGAAAATGTGCCAGATTGTGCCAATCAAAACTACTGCTTGTCTGCAGTTCATGCTTCAGCAATGTTGTGACTTTGGATTAGATTGTCAGATTGCGAGTATTTGATTAAACGCTTACCGCAAAATCCTCTCCAATTAGCAGTATTGCGAGCAGTGATTAATGACAATCTAGTTCAGACTAGACTTGTTTTGAACTATTTGCGAAAATTGTAAAGGCCCAGTCTCTCCTTCCTTTCACATTTCGGGTTAATGACCCCCGGTTTTAATTCAGTTCAAATAGTCGATACCTTCTTCGTATCTTAGCTATTTCAAAGACTTACACTGCCATGAATTGTCGTTGTAGCCTCCAAAAATATAGATCCCGACCCTAACAATTGTTACAGTGGGTCCTTTGTTATCGCAATAGCTGTGAAAGGTCTGTGAACTCCAGCCATGATTAGAGGCCCTATAACACAGATTCCAATAACTTCTCTCTGAACTTTGCAAGTGCGGAAGAAGCCAGGTATTTAACTGCGATATCTTGCTGGCATCATTCGCTAAAATAACGGAGTCATCGAGACTACCTGGTAAAAAAAAAGTAAATCAGAAATTCATCCTGTTAAAAGATGCTGCATTTCGAAAACTGACAACGACTCCAGTATTTGCTATACCTGAAAAAAACACAACAAAACAAAACAAACCAAACCAAAAACTATTGACTTATTAAAAATATAGGCGAGGTTAGTCTAAAATACACTCAAAATTAAAGTACCCACGAAAGTCAGAAGCAACCAAAAAAATAAGCACGAAAATCTCGCTTGCGGTGCGTTTGAAATTTCATTAAGAGTATATTCTGGGACAAAGCATAATCAAGATAATCGACAGGCAGGTGAGGGGTCGCTCTTTGGCGACATAAATATTGGTGGATACCTTTTCCCACAAAGTAGAAGTTAACAATTGGCAGAGTGGTAAAACGAAGAGAATTAAAATGAAGTAAAACATATAATTACGATGAGGAGTGCATGTTTTCCCGTCACCAATGTAATGTGCATTCACGTCACACTTGCAAGTAAATGAGCCTTCTGTGTTAGTGCAGATTGCATGGGAGTGACAGTCATGGGTGTTGAGCGAGCATTCATCAACATCTGGAAGATAAGAAGACTTTTATTTATTTCAAGCTGGATCTTCTTTTTTGTCAACGAATGTCATATTCATAGGAGTGACTGACTTTTCAAGACCTAACAAGAACAGTCACTAGACCATTGAGAAGAGATGCATTTCAATTCTGTGCCTGTAAACAGTGGCAAATTCAGATCTGCAAGTAAGTAGAGAGCTCGGCTGAGAAAATGATTTTACTTAACGCTAGGGGCTTCAGTTCAGCCTAAAAATAAGGAGGGGGCGGACCGCTGCTGAAAATGTATGAAATGTATGTTTTGAACATACGAAAAGTCAAGTTAAAGTCTTTTTTCTCCCTTTTATATTTCCTTATGTTTATCACCGCAGTTTGCTTTTTGTTTCTTCTTAAACGACATCAGTAGAAGAAGAGGAAGGAACAACAAGGAAAACGAGGGTGGAAATATAACCGTTTACCGGGTACTTTTATAATGGACCTCCACACAACAGGTACTAGTTATGAAAAAATTTGACATAAAAATGAAAAACTCTACAACTTCCATAAATGTCTGAAAGGATCTGAAAACCTTAAAATGTGCTAATGAGGTGTTGTCTTAACTGGTAAACTTATCCTGTAGTGTTTTTCTGAACATTCACTCATGTATAGAGACGTAGTTTCCGACGCACCTAACTTATTCTATAAACGACAAACAGTTGCGAACTTCCTACGCTAAGTCCTGAGTTTCTTTAACAGAGAGGTGGCAGAACGTGTTTATTGGCGGCGGATCTAGTACTATGAGCATGTGAAGAACGGACATGTTTCAAAAAGGACGTGAAATAATTAGGACGAAGATCTTGACCCACTTTGTGTATGAGAAGTTTCCTTATACGTATGATGTCACCTATTAGCAGCCAACCTAATTTATCGAAAAGCTTTAGAGAACTGTCGTTTACAGTGTTCAATATTTATTCAAAGGCTCGTACCTCGACAGGTTCGTCCATCCCCCGTGAAGCCGCTGTTACATGTGCACGTGCAGGAGCCATCTGTATTGTAACATGTCGCACTGCTGTCACACTGGTGACCTGAAGAGCATTCGTCGACATCTGAAGCAAGAAAAATTTCTCTTTAGAAAGTACCGTCGGATTTTGAAGCTTCTGGAATGGTGGCCCCATCAGTATACAAAAAAAAAAAGCCTCACATAATGAATCCCCGAAAGCTTTAGCCTGCGGAACAAGCGACCCCACTCGGGTTTGTCGAGAACGTTGAAACCAGAGCGATAAGCTACTAAGTCTACAAGAGCTTAGATTTTGAAATTGCAGGGAAATACAACAACCGTACGTACATGTTCTTTTTCTATGAACTTTAGTTCTCTTTTTGGGCTGCATTTAAAGTTATAGTATGGTCTGTATACCTATGAACTATAAAATAAGGATAGTTAATCAACTTTATTGCTGTTATTCATAGAGATTAGGAAATAATGTGCAAATTTTATTATCTCTGAAATTGGAAAAAGAAGTTGCTGAGAAGACTTCCCTCCTAATTTATTCCAGTCTATATTTAAACGCTTATTTCACTACTATTATACGCTGCTCAGTATTTAAAAACCCTCTAAAGAGTTCTTTGGAAAATACATTTTCACGCAATTTACGGTGAAAGCATGCTTATTCTACTTTATTCCACAACCCCGGTCAAAACTCTTGGGACACTAACGCAATAGCTCGTCAAATTGAGGCATCTTCCCTCCACCCTTCCCCCTCGGTGCAGTGTTGACGTTATGTATTCAAGTTTTAATTCAACACAATCAACACTGCTTGGGGGAGAGGGGGACAGCAGAAATAGCCCCTTATAACAACATCCCCAAGCTTTTTTAAGAGGTAGAATATGAGTTAATTTAGCAAAGTGCGTCTTTGTGCCAAATTTCCTCCAGTGTCCCAAGACGTTTTGACCAGGGTTGTAGCTAGCCTTAAACTCACGAGAGATGTCTGTTTACCATTGGATGAGTTTCCTTTGATAATTATGCTTCATGAATTAAACGAAAAACTAAAACTTGGGGCTTTGAACATAATACCTCTGCAAAGCAAGCCATCACCGGCATATCCTACGGAGCGCCGGCAGCTATAGGAGCCAATGATGTTTGTGCAGATGGCGTTCTGATGACAATGGTTATTGTTTCCTCCACATTCATCATAATCTAATTTTAAAAACGAATATAAAACAATCGTTCAGTCAATCAACCTGCAAAACAAATAATGAAACGATCGATTGTCAATCAACTTTTTTAACAAAAGAATAAAAATTAAAATCGTTGCTCATATGATTTAATCAGCACGAAAACTGTTGTGTATGAAGGGGTGATGCAGTGCTAAAAGCACCCACTTATGGATCCTTTTTGTGACGTCTAATTTTCTTTTTCACAAAAGTAGTGCCTATTTTTCTTTGTAGACTAATCCTTTAATTTATACTATTTCTGCAACAAACAGATTTGGGGGGTGTTTACATGAAGCCGGGGCGACTTTCGCCCCGGAGCGAGTTCACTCAGGTTCCCTCTCATGGCTCTATATTTGTTTACATGATACCACCACAAAATGACATGCCGGCGCGAGTCACCCCGGCGTGAGCTCACCCCGGTTCTTGTACTGGGGCGAGAATTTCGCTCCGGTACGAAATATGGCAACGGTATCATGTAAGCGCGAAACGACCACCCGTTTCGGTGTGAAATCGCTCTGCCGGTAGACTGAAACGGGTAGCGCATGCGTTATGTTTACGATTTTGAATCACACGTGTATTTTATTAACATGACGTGTACCTTCAACTAACGAGATACGAAAAAGCCCAGTCGTCATGTAAACGCGATACGAAATCAAAAAGTCATCCTGGTATGAAACTCGCGCCGGTGCGAGTTTTCTCATGTAAACATCCCCTTACAGTAAACTCAAACTTTTGTCACCTAAAAGCCAAAGAAATGGGCCACTTGCACGATGACGATTTTTTTACTACTAGGACCAGAGTTCATTTCGTTTTTTCTTTCATATTTAAATTTGCTAATCCCAGTGAGGTTTACATAACAAAAGCCGTAATTTGCATAAGAAAGCAATACCCTGAAGGATTCTGGAAGTAGTAGTAAATGACATCATCGTGCAAATGGCCTATTGGTTATTGAGGTGTAAATTGGTGAAAGTAAATTAGGATCTTCTCTGAAAATACAAATGAAATAAATAAAAATAACTCTTAACGCCTGGAAAGGTTAAAATAGACCATTTTCGATTTCTAAAAACCCACACTTTCAAAATGAGGTCAAGAGCAAACCCTTTCATGAGGAAGTAGTTTTATAATCTCTGTTTGAAACAGGCTTGGGGCAAATCGGAAATTGCTTTTGAATAGGAACTAATGAATAATAACAATAGTAATATTAATAACAATAACAATAATAATGTTACAAACTTATAGATGTATCGCTACCATCCGACCGAAACACCGCCACGAAAGTCATTGAAAAGCTTTCAAAATACAAAGATCTTGAGATTGAAACCACGAGAATGTGGGGAATGAGGACAGAGACTGTGCCCGTTATTGTTGGTGCACTGGGACTTATTAAAGAGGGAATGGGCCAGAATTTAGGTAAGATTCCTGGAGCCAGTAACATTAATGAGCTGCAAAAGATCATCCTGCTAGGAACGGCGCGCATACTGAGAAGGTTTCTCAGTGTCCATCAAATAAAAAACTCCCCTGGTACCTCAGGACCATAGATTGGCGCCGGTTCTAGGAGAGTGTAGGAAGCAATTAACAATATCGGCTCCTGATAACACTGAAAACGTTTATAATAATAATAATAATAATAATAATACCTACGAGGTTGTATGACTGCGAGAAAAAGCACACGGATGTGATGGGTGAGGTAACCTGCAGGCTATGTAATAAGGCCCCTGAAAGTGTCGCTCATGTCCCGGCTTGTTGTACTGCCCTTGCACAGAACAAGTACATTACTCGACATAATAATGCAGCCCTGAAGATACTTTTCTTCGAGATTTTGCAAGACCTAGGTCTTGTCAGAGACTCGGTGCCACCTTAGTCCCCGCCACTGAAACCTAAGCCAGGGTACGAGGCGAACGATGCGCAAGTGTTCTGGGATGTCCCCCTATTTGCGGAGCACCAAGAAGTTGAAGCCAACAGAATTCATGCTCGCATTATCAAACACGAGTTAAAGGAAGTTATAACGCTTGAGATGAGCTGCTCATGGGTTACAAGCCGGGAGAAAAAGGAGGAGGAGAAAACCACGCAATACGAACCGCTCCGTTGGGACCGGAGTTAAAGCAGAAGTACCAAGGATATGAAGTGAAACAATATAATATCATAATGGACGTACTTGGGGGGTGGTCCCCAGACTTAGACGTCCAGCTGAAGCAGTTGGTCGAAAGTAAAGAGTAAGGGAGTTTTTTTATATAACATGCAGAATTCTGTACTCTCGGGAACAGTAAACAACTTTAGAACGTTTAAAGTTGCAACATGAACAATGATTATCGCTTTCGAAATTATTAACTCTCTTCCTTCAACATCTTTTGGACTTTTGTGGGTATGAAGTAGTCGTCAATGAATTTTTTTACAGCCGAATAAGTAATTTACCTAAGAGAACTTTAAAGACTTTATAATTATCATTTTAGATCCTAGATATCTTGAATAGTTTTATTTTCTTTTGGAGCATTATTTACAGTGCTTTTTTTTATTATTGTATATGTATATTTTTAAATTTTTACACTAAGTTCTCACTATAGTAAACGGGTTACGCTCACGCGTCCCGTCACACTATTTTAACTGTATACAGCGTACAAAAGTTGGTATATAAAAGAGGTAAGTCACCCACAAACCTTCTGAACAGGTATAGTTATGGCAAGTATCACAGCTTACATCATTCCACATAAAACTATGACTGACTCCCAAAGTGTGGACGCAATCTTCATTGTTGAAGTTGTTTGGTTGGTTCTTCGCCCAATATGAAAAGTTACTGGTTTGATTATCTGCCCAGTCGAAAGTACCCTCAATTACCCTATCGTTTAGCCCAATCCAGCCCTTGGCACCATTCAGCCGATGCTGAATATAGACGTTTTCTTCTTGATTCCGCACAGTGATGAGGTTGCCGCTGTATGCTTGGCAGGTTTTCTCAGCTTCGGTCCAATTTTTGCACGAATGGCTTGTCGAGTAGCAAATACCATTAAAATATGACCAGCCCGGCTTACAAACATCTGCAGTATACAAAACATTTTGTGTGAGGTAAATTGTGCGTAACAAAGACTAGGCCAAACGTCGAACTTTTCATGAGACAAACCAAACTTAGTGATTTAAGTTCATGAAACCTTCTTAGCGACGTTTGGCTCAGTTAAGTTCGCTGAATGAGTTTGGATCGTCCAACACGTTACGACAGACAGAGCGTCCGAAGATCGTCTCCAGGACAAACGTCGATCTTCACATGTGAGGAACTAAACTAATAAATTTTAAAAAAATTGTTCGTTAATCTATATAAAATCGTTCGGGAGAAAATAATTTTATTACTGATCTGATTCAGTTGATTGGTTCCACGCGCCCTATAAAGATCGACGTGTTATCCAGCAGCCGATCTTAATTAACTTAAGTTAGGTCGACTCAAATTAGAGTTTGGTTCGTTCCATGCAAACTTCTACGTTTGGCTTAGGCCTTAGCTGACCGAGAAGTTTTTGGAAATAGAAACCTTTACTTGTAGTACGTAGGAACTAAGAAAATACATTCACTAGTGATTACTTAAAGGAGATATGAAACAAGGAGCCTCTAAGTTTACTTGACATCTACCAAAGTTTGCTGGGCATGAGAAGGTCTTCGCAAAGAAAATTTGTTGTTATCATTTACTAACACACCTGCCAGTACTGTATAGGACACAGTCACAGGATCATGCTGGTCAGCGAACAACTCCTTAAGACAAATGCGGAATTCGCTGGTCTTGATGTGCTGTAAAATAAGCATATCATCTAGCATCATATATTTCGCTTACAAGAACAAACAGTAATAGCTCAACTTTTAGAGACGTTCGCTTAAACGCCTGTAACTGAGTCATTTTGAATTCCTATCTAAACAAAAAAAAAACATTGGGAAACTGACCTCGAATAACAGATGGACAAACAGATAGTACTTTTCGCTGCGCGAATATGACTGATAAACAGGCTGCATGAACAGACCATGGTGAAATTTAGCTCATTTGCACATTTCCTACAGGGTTATCAGCTTGATCTTACTTATTTTGAAGAAAGAGCGTTGTATATTAGTTAAATAACTTGAGAATACCTCAATCCATGGGGTCATGGACATGTATATTGGCTTCAAATTGTTGCCCTCTGAGTTGTGACCGGCTGCTATTAATACTATGGGTTCTTTGTCGTAATTCTTTGCAAATGGGACGTCCTAAGAACATAAAAATAAGGCTGCTGATATAGCATTTGAATCACCGTCCATTTTTGATCAATGAATGGTGATACTATAGGTGGCTGGAATATATCTGCGCTGACTCGAAGGAACAGGTAATTTTTGAGTAAGAAAAACATTTCTTTGTTCAAGATTATTTTCCGACGGCTTTGATGAACTTTCAAAACACAAGTTCATTTCTTGGTCTCATCTCTTTTCTTTTGAAAGATCATATGACATGATATGGCAACTAGATGTGAGATCAGTCATGGTCGACTTCCTTCATTTTTACTCCCATTTATTAAGTTGGGATAAAATCTGGAGTTTTACAGCCGTAAAGATGATTTAAAATTCCTAAATGTACTTATCTGACAGCCGCTTTTCTCTGCTGTTCCATTAAACTTTCAAAAAAGTCCTTCGTCGGATTTAATAAGGCGCGGGATGAAGGTCGACCTCTCGCGACTTCGCCCCGACCTCGCTAAGAGGTCGACTTGCCGCAAGTCTACTGTTCCATCTAAAAAGATAAAGACCTTTCTTCTACTTAAAAGTAAAGTTGCGTCTTACCTTGCAAAATGCACCATTGTAGTTCGTAGAAACGGAATTGTTGTTTGGAAAATCCACGTGATAGCTCTCAGCGAAAAGGGGCCTGTGGATTGTTTCAAAGACCATCCAACTCTAAAAAGCGGGATAGCAATCAAAAATGGATTGCTATCTCATACCTAAATCCCGTGTAAAAATAATTGAGCTATGTGCCCTAAAACGATAATTTGTAACTTGTTTC